AAAACCAAAGGCTGAATGTTTTCTCTGATATGACGGGGGGTGGCTGGCTAGGGAAGAATAGAGGTACTTTAGATTAGGTAGAGGGGAGTGAAGGGAGAGGAGGGAGTATAGGGCTATGAAGGATAGTAGAATGGATCAGATATTATTACCCTCTGTGCATATATGACTACATGACCAGTGTGATTCTACATCATGTACAACCAGAAGAATAAGAAATTATGCTCCATTTATTTATGATGTAAAAAAAGTACTTAAATGTTAAACGCTGGGGAAAAAAGATGCATGCAGTGAAGAGTTTTGCTGCACATCCATCCTATACTGGCCTTCTACAGAGTATGTTCCACTTATTCTCCTACCAATTGGACTTGACGTTGCTGACGCCCCCACGATATCACCAAACCCAAGATTATATTCTTTTATGCTCTTTGTTAAATTGCAATTGCTCGTTGTTCCTCTATGCTCTTCAAAGTGGGGAGCTCATCTTCCAAACAGCTCACAGGGAAGATGGCACATCACCTTTCAGACAAGGGATAAGGAGAAAGCTAAGCTGCTCGGCTTCAATAGATGCTGTGATCTGAAGAGCTGACAGAGAGGAAGTAACTAACTTTGTTTTTGTTTACTTCATTAAAGAGAATGCTCTTCAAAGTAGGAAGTGTTTCATCAACCAAAGAGGAATCTGGGCTGTTCAAAATGAGCAGAGGACTATGCAATGGACCCTCCATAGCCACGGGTTCTGAATCCACAGTTTGAACCAATGGGGGATTTAAAATAGTTGAACTATTTGAGAAATCTGAACAGGTACAGACATTTTTCCCTTGTCATTATTCCCTAAACAATACAAGATAAAAAGTATTAACATAGCATTTACATTATATTAGATATTCTAAGTAATCTAGAGCTGATTTAAAGTATATGAGAGGAAACTTGCAGGTTATATGTAAACACTGTGCCATTTTATAGAGAGGATTTGAGCATCCATGGATTTTTTTTTACCTACAGATGGTCCTGGAACCAATCTTCTGCAGATACTTAGGGAGAACTTTAGTTTAAAACAAGTTATACACAAAAATAAACAAAATTCAGGTGGGTGTAGATGTTTGGAACACTGTGAACAGTTTTAAGGATGTAACTATATTCTTCAAATATTGGAAAGAGATGATTTCCAAGAGGGATGAGATTTATTCTTTGTAATTCGGAGGGAGAGGGCAACTCTAGGAATAACTGGTGGGATAAATGGACAAGCAGATTTTAACTCACGTTCACAAATTGGTGGCTCTGTGTTCCAATTGACAATATTGCCTGAGATGATACATTGAGCAGACGAGTGACCAATGAGTCGGTACCTTATGGCAAAAGAGAAAAAAAAATCATAGTGTGCACATCCCACCAGGCCCCTTACAACATGTCTGTGTGGCAATTTGGGGAGTCTAAAGGCCATCCTTACCTAACTATTGTATCCAGCATTTCTTAATTCTCTTTCCCATCCTTTGACCATCAAAATGGATACTTCTTTAACTCCTAGTGGACAACTCTGCTTATTAATTTCTTGGCCTTACTGTGGATTATACTAGGCACAGTGCTGACCATGAAAATCTGATTCCGGCTCCGTGGCCTTGTCTTTCGCCCTGTAGTATATGAATGTGGTCTCTGGATCAGGGTTGTTGGTATGCTTAATTTTTTTTTAAATTTATATTAGGGCAGATTGAGCCCAGGGGTACTCTACCATTGACCTTATCCCCAGACCTTTTTATGTTTTGAGACAGGGTCTCGCTATGTTGCCCAAGTTGACCTGGAACTTGTGATCCTCCTACCTCAGCCTCCCAAGTCTCTGTGATTTGCAGGCACGAATCACTGCACCTGGCTATTATTATGCTTTGACTGCAAGCTCCCTCCCAGTGAATGCCTCACTTTTCTTACCTACACTGCCCTGGTTTCAGCAAGGACACACATTTCCCCTTAATCTTGTCAGACCGTTGTTCATTTCAATCAGGAGTTAAATATCCGAGTTTATACCTTTTAATACCAGGCAGTGATAGGCTAGTTGCCCTTGCTGAGATGTGCCATGAAGGTAGCACTGCTGTTCCAGAACTCTTGGGCTAAGAGATATTGCTGCCAACTCACCCTTTATTGCACGTATAATTAATTCTGGATCCAATCTGGGTGTCTGAGTCTCCATGCACCAAGCCGTTCGTAGGATCTGAAGGCGTTTTACATGATTTTCCTATAGGAAGGAAACAGTTTTGGAGCTAGAGTCATCTGAACTTTCTTAGCCCATAAAGTCCCAACCTGACTGCAGTTAGGCAGTTGAGAAGGACAGCTTTTGTTACTTTAAGGAAACTCACAAACTGTCTTTTATCATCAGCCATCTAAGTACCACTTTCAAAAAGAAGTCCCCTTCCAGATTCGTTTTATCTCTGCCTAGTATTCTTCACCAAATATGAAGGTCACTCATACAAGTATATTTTGAATTTCTCAAAGGATTTGTTCCCACCAAGAAATTCAAAGAGACTTTATATCTCCCTACACAATTTTTTTTTCCTGATCTAGAATCACTCATTTTTTACTTTCCCATAGGAAATGGACATCTCCACAAACATTCCTTTCACATTCTTGTGAAATGAACATTTCAACCAATAATCACAGATGATGGACAAGACCAACTTTTATTCCCACCCACCCAAACATTTTTTTGATAAAAGGTTTTTTCTCATGTCCAGAATTTGAAAACATTAAATCAGATCCTATGGATGCTTTTTCAGACACCAAAAAGCTCCAATGCTGAGTTACTCACGTTTGCAGACATCTTTGGGACTGGACCAGACCAAGTTTTCTAGACACGTGATAGAGAACGACCTCCTGTAGTACCCGGGGCCGCATTCAAACTCTAAGGACGCCCCAATGGGAAACTCAGATTCTTTGGTTTGGGTTTTCAACTTAGCAAACTGAAAAGGACCTGGAGTTTTACAGTAACCTAGAGAACAAGAAACCAGGAACATTTGAAGTAACAAAACATGCTTTTCCTTTGTGTCTCTCCCTTATTTGTTTTGATGCCAGAAGAAAATAAATTCTTTGGTTCTAGAAAAACAATTTCCTTCTGATACTGGGAGGGAATGTTCCATTCACAGAAGGCCACCAGAAAACATAAGATCTGAAAGGCTGTTGTGCTGTTTGATCTTTCTGTTTATATAACTTAATGCAAAGATCACTCTAATTTAATTTCTTTATAGTAGTAAAGCCTCTCCTTTTGAGAGGCTGAAAGTTGCCTATGCTCAGGTTCCTCCTGTCCTGTCTGGTTTCCTTGTACTTCAAGGCATCAAAACTCCAGTGAAGAGTTCATGAGCATGGGTGGTTCCGAACTCAAGATGTTTGTTGGCCCTGGGCTTCCTAGTCTTCAGTTTTCTGTCTGATTTCTGAGCCAGCCATTTCAATAAGGAGGGAACAAATAGCCTCTCCTTAAAACAAAAAAAACTCCAACTCCCATTCCTCCTATACTCTTCAATATAAGAGAACTTTGCTCAAAGTAAATTTTGAATCTACCTCTAGCTTTAGTTCCACACTCCTATGATCCATTAAGCTCTAGGCT